AGTATACACAACAAAAACACAGTACCCTCTTATAATGTATAATTCATTATAACTTTACCATGACTGCTTGGAATTAACTGGGTGTATGAAATTATACAGCAAGAGCTTTTTATTATATTTTTTAAAAGAATAATATTTTTTGGGGTCAGTGACTTTTAACATATTATTTTAAAGAGTTGGTATGACATTTTTTCTTTCTCAAAGAGAGATTTATTGTTTCAGCCTAGTGTTTCAAAAATTTCAAATATTATTGATAAAATTTCTATGGATTTTTTTTTTGTAAAAAAATATTTGCTGGTACTGTTACTTTTATTCATTCTATTTTTTTAAATAGATATTCCAATCGTTTCCCACACGTATATGCTGAAATATATTTATACGACAGTATTGGTATATTATATGTATATATCTATGATACTTGTAGCATAGGTGATAAATCTAGCTCCAAGAAACTTTGTAATATTACCAAGTTTATTATTTATTTTCAGCACTGTCAATTATTACACTCCGTGAAAAGTAGTTGTCTTTGTTACGCAAAAAAAATTAACATAGTTAATTTAGCCATTAAAAAATCAGTCTAATAGTACTTAAGGATTTTGGAAGCAAATTTTATTTAAACTCATTAAAACAGCTAATTTTCAAAAAATATTGCAATCATTTAAAACATACCTATATGAAATATAGTTGAACTTGCCGGAATTCAAGGTAAGGCTTGTCATGTCTACTGAACGATCATGATGTTGTATAAGGGTTTTCCAAAATCGTAACTATGTGAGCTAGTCGTAGAAAAGTTTAGGCATATACTTAGTAAGTTAAAAAATATGTTAATAAAGTATAAATGATGATGGTGAATAAACATAAAATGAAATCTAATTATTTTTGAATGTTTTGGGATAAAATTTTTATACATACGCCACATAAATATCAGTTTGTGGAGCATGTACAACTATTTAATCAAGTTTTTGTTTTTTTAACTTAAACCTTATCAATCAATACTGATTGTTGTACATTTATATGTATTGGGCTTGAATGAAGATTCAATGTAAGAATTACATAAGACGGTTTTTAATTACATATTGTTAAAAAAATGGACAATTTTTGTGAAATACTTCGGTAGATGCCGGTATTAAACATAATTACTCCGGTTCTAAGTGGAAATTTTATCTGGCAGTCGTAGTGGTGGTCCAAGTCGAAGTGAAAACATTCGTACAGTCATTCATCTTCGGGGATCAACCGATACTCGAAATTTTTGTGAACGAATCGTACAGGCCTGAACTTGATTTATAGTAAGTAAACCAGAGTAGGCTGTCAACTTGCTTGACTCTTGCGCAAGTCACTCTTTTGAGCAGCCATGGCTCGCAACAATTTTTTATTATTGACACGGTGCACTTGACCCCCATTGGGCAAGTTCCTCTGGCTTCAAAGTCCATCAACACCGATTGTTTGTTCCTTGACGGGATGTCAATGCAACAAAGAATATACTTACATCAACGTGCGAAAATGTCGTGACTTGTGCAATTATGTTATTATACTTGTGTCAAATGAGTGTTAAGATTTTTTTTTTTTTTAATAATTTTGTTTCATCAATGGGAAATAAAAAAACATCTCTAATATACGTTTGGAAAATGTATCGAGCCGTAAAGTGGTGGTCAAGCATTGCAGATTCACAAGTTTACGCGTATTTTATTTCAATTATTAGACCAATCGATCGTAACATCTTCGATTCACGTTCAAGGATTTCCGTGTTTCGAGCTTAAGCTTGAGACAAAAAAAAGTTTTGGCTTCGATTTGGCACATTAATATCAACAGCCAATCACTCGGGTATCATGTCCGGCATCGTAAATGTTTAAATAAACAATTTTTTTTTTTTTTTTTCAATCAAAATTGGGCAATCGTCAAATGGCCAATCATATTCAAGCCATTTTCTCTGATTTTACGTGTGTTTTTGCATTACATTGTGTCATTTTGCCAAACGTATATAAAAATTTAATGAATTACTTGCGTCTCACGCATGTTTTGGGTCTTGGATAAATCATTTTTGTTTTATTTATTATGAATTCAGCAGTGCGTATACAATACTTTTATTACTTATACGTATATAATTATTTTTTTCAAGTCCAACTCAAGTAACAAATAAAAACTTGTATCAAAACGCTAACGGTAATTTTATTTCGCTGTAATAAACGAAATATTGAAGCATCGTAAGCCATTTTTTTTTTTTTTTTTTTTTCTNTTAAAAATGCAATTTTTTATAGATATTATGATGGATAGTTGCATGTTTTTTTCATAACATTACAAAACGTCGCCCCCGTCACCCACTCAGCCCTCGGTGCACACTTGGTAAATAAATATCCGGTTTTCGGAGTTTCCAATAGCAACAAAAAGGGCGCGCGCGCGCGCGCATTGATGACAGTTGCGTAAAAATTTGGTCTGCTTCATTTGACTTTCGTTCTTGTTTACAGCATAAGTATAAGCACACTGTATTATTTTTTTTTCTTTTTTTTTATAATCGCTACTTACAAACTTTTATCCAACAAAATGGAAAATTTTGTTGTTTGAGTTACCGTTCGAAGTTATAGTACAAAAACTAAGTACTCTTTTTTTCTTCTTAAAATAATCTAAAATAAAAGATAGCAACAAAAAAGTCTGCACTCGGGACCCCGAAATCGCTACCACACAAATCGTCGTGCGACGTCGCGACGTTTCACAGCAAAGGGCAAGAAATGACGATTCCGTTGCGATACAGACGCCCAAAGGCAAAAACTGAAGGGGAGCACGTGTTTGGCGACAAGGTCACGCCCAAGCGGTCAGGGTGAGAGAGCGATCGGCAAGGTGGTCGATCGATCCCGCACGTGCACGCCCAACCAACCGATCGGACGTGATGAGTCAACAGCGGCTCCCACCCTTTGTACAGCTTCAAGCGTCGCGCGCCATCGGGAAGGGAGGGCCGTGGGCGCGCCGACGAAATAAAAGCCCGGGCAACCTGTGCCAGCTAGTGCAGTGCTCGTGCCGATCTGCTCGAAAATTCAGCGATCGAGTGGCTGGCGCCGTGCAGCGGAACAACCGATTCTCGTCCACCCCCTCAACTCACCCGCTGTCGCGCACTTTCTTTTTTTTGTTTGTTTTTTTTTTTTTTTGTTTTTTTTCAAGGTACTCACATTCGTGTTGCTATTGCTTGTGTACATTTATATTCTATCCATGAATCATCGTCGGGTATGGGTGAAACGTGTGCTCTGGTGAATTTATCGCAGATCCCCCGTTATGGTTGCAGGTGCCATTAACCGTGTCTCGAGCCAAATTTTCAAGTTTAAGTGCACCTCGACTTCGCGACACCCTTCACCGATTACAGTCACTCGTATGAATCCAACTTGACGATTTGAGCGTGATAAGTATATACTTGATCGATATTTTCACACCCGCATCTCACGTAACTTTGAAACACCGCGCTCGAGTGTAGCATACCGATCTCTCGAAGCAAAAAAAAAAAAAAAAAAAAAAAGAAAAAAAGAAAAAAGGTACCGTCACCGGCTTTCGTGAAGAAGAGAGAAAAAGACTACTCGGTGGAGATTGAAATCGAGGCCGCGAGGCGCCCGCAAATAACATCACCAGCCGATCCCCGATTTAGTCTACCGATCGATTCGCCATAGCGTGCCACGAATTCCCGATCCCATCGGTGCATTCCCAGCTCTGGTCTGCAAAGATATTGTAACACGTGTGCGTGCGTGTGTGTGTGTGTTTTATGCGCAGGTGTCGTTGTGAGTGACAAGGAGCAACATGTCGTGGGCCGATGAAGAAGCCGCGCCGTGGGACGCTGGCAGCACCGAGGAAACGACGACCGGTACCGAGGGTGAGTCGAGCGGTACCGAGGGCTTCTCGAGCGAGGGTGGCGGACCACCGCCCCCACCGCCCTTCGACTTTCGCGTTCTGCCGAGGTGTGATCCGCCCAAGTACACCCTGCACTGGGTTCGGCCGCTCTTTCTCAATTACGGATACCTATACGATTACAGGTATACTTATGATGGCCCGACTGTCTCAATGGGACGCTCGGAGACGGCTGATTTTTATCTCAAGGGCCGTGTGTGTTTTTTTCTTCCTCTTGTACCTTCTTATCGATTCACTTTTCAATTGACAATTTACGTACCGATATATCGGTATCGTTAAATATTCGTAGATGCGCGATGGCTCGTAGAAGATAAAAATCACCGGTCTAACCCCAAGGTGTTACAGAACTTTTATTTTTTCATTTGAAATCACGTGCAGAAGTATTGAGCAATTCGTCGATTACAATATTGGTGCACGATCTCGTGGACGCTTGCCCAAGGGAGGGTAATTATAAATTGATCGCACGCGTTGACTGAAACTCGGGGAGCGATCGGGCCTGTCAATCATACGCGACATTGCGCATCGCGTGCAATTATAAATAGATAAACATACTCGTGCGGAAGTTAAATTTCAATACGACCGAGCTACCGCGTGATCGCTGGTGAAAGATTTTTTTTCAATCATCGGTCCTGTCCGTTGGATTGAGCCAATACCTAGATTTCTAATTTTTATTTCGTTGTTTCAAACTTAATTGATTTTTATAAGCGTTTAAAACTCATCTTTTTGTTTGTCAGTTGACACCTTTTGCACCGGTGCTCGAATCTTTTATAGTTAACGAGTATCGTTATCGCGACATAAATTTCGTCTCTGCTTCAAACGTTATACTCATTGCTTATATACCGTAAAAAAACGCAATGCCTCTCAACAATTCCACTTCATTCCTTTTTTTTTTTTTTTTTACTTTTAACTTTGTATAACTTTGTAAAGCGAATACTCGGATAAATTAACTAAAGCTACATCGTTTAACTCAATGAAGTCCATCGTACCGTCTTTCTGATGTACCTACAACACATACGTACAAACACAATGAGTGAAAGTAACAAAAAAAAAAAAAAAAAGAAGAAGAAGAAGATTTTAAATCTCTTCGTTTCTTCTTCATTAGATATGTACGCTTGGGGGTAAATGTTTGAAATGCATGTATTGTAACGCCACGGTTTTTAGGCAAAACTACTACAACGACGTGATCGACTGGATGAACAAGAGGAACAAGGGAATAAGCCGCGAGACGCCGCGAGCCCAGGAGTGGTCCGAGCGCGCCATGAGAACGTACGACCAGAAGAACAAGGACAAGAGCCGCAAGGGCGTCGCCGACATGAACATCCTCAGGAGCTACAAGCCCAAGGTTCGCCACTACAGCTACCACACGCGGGCCTACTACAGTCTCAAGTACCAAAAGATACTCTGAGCTACGCTGAGGGAACGCGAGCGACCAAACAAGGGGAGAAATAACGAAAAAAAAAATTAATAAAAAAACAAACGACGAAAAAGTAAAACGAAGAAGAAAAAAAAAAACGCATCGCGAGCATACAATAACGACGGGACGATTTGGTGCCATTGTCAATACCTATGCAATTCATGTATCAAAATTCACACGTTGCGCTTAATAATTGTTTATTAATTAACTGTATCGATGAAAAAAGCATAGTATTGTTTCACGTTAAAGTTGATGAAAAAAAAAAAAAAAAAAAAAAAAAAAAAAAAAAAAAAAAAAAAAAA